CGTTGCCAATAGTGGCGACGGACCTCATAGAGTAACTTGAGTAAACAACAATCCTTCTGAACGTGTAAGCAACAACATATTAAATTTTTCGCTTTTGGGGCTTCTCTTATTTTTTTTTAAAAAAATTCAGTTGCTTTATTGAGTAAAATATTTTATTCAAAAATCAGCCTTTTTAAGAACGATTTGCTCATGAAATGTTCTGATGATTTGATTTGATTCTTGTTTATGGCGCAGTTTAAAAGCTGCTCGATGATTTTTTGAAGACGCGGATCTCTTTATTTTAAATTTTGACCAAGTGACGAGGATGGCACCTGAGTTGACACACCACTCCATACTTAGCTGAAAGAAAGTGCTGTTACGTGTGAACTGAATAGAAAAAACAAATAAACAAACACTATTCATATGTTCTGTGACTGAATAATAAACCCAGAAAAGTTAAGATTTTTTTTTGTCTCATCTTATTTATTAAATTTATCAGATATCAAAAGAAATCTCCCAATGTAGCCAATAAACGGCCGTGCGAGGTAAGATTTAACGTTATGTTAAGATCTTCAACTAAATGACATTGAAAAGATACAGTGTCAGTTCCTAGCAGTATTGAAAATATTTCACCCAAAAATACTAAGATTAGTAAGACAAATTAAGAAGAAAATGTTTGAAAGTGTTCTTGAGAGAAGTAGAAGGGCATCACAGTTATCTTAAAATCCCGAATAATCTACTTCAGCGTTTCTCAAACTGTGGGGTGCGCCTCCCTAGGGGGGCGTGTTAACCTTACAAGGGGGCGCGAGCATATCGAAATATCCAAAATAAAAGATTTAAAAAATTACAAATTTATAGAAAGGAATTGAAACAAAATAAATTCTGACATAATAAAAATAAAATACACATTTACACTGATATAATATACTGATAAATGCATCAGTAGTATATTTATAAATGCATTTGCTAATTAATTTATTAATACTAAGTTAAGAACAAGATTAATAATTATTAGTGACTTCCACGGGCTTGTTATATACAAAATGTCATACTTCTCTCGATAATTTGAACGGTTTATAATTAAAATCGTATTGTATTTTTAGCGTCAAATACATTATTATTGAATTCAATATATATATTTTTTTGTATGGAGGGCGGTGCGATGAAAATTATGATTGACAATTGGGTCGCAAGTATTGAAAGTTTGAGAAGCACTGATCTACTTTCATGTTCAATTATCCCCCCCCCCCTTGAAAAGATTCCTGATAACATTAGTAGTCAAAAGAACACTAACTTTTTGAGTGAATTTTGTTTCAATCTAATAAAATGTCTCACTGTTGCAATATATTTTTGAAAATTATTGGTATTAGCACAGCTATAACAAACAAGTTTGCATTATAATCAGGAGCGTAGCTACCGCCATATCTGCCGTTTCAATGATACGGGGCCCCCAAGTTACAGGGGCCCCAACATGTGTAACTACAGTCCCTCTAACAGGGTTCTCATCAAAAATAAGGCCCCGAAGGAATTAGGATACAAGGCCACACTGAGCTAGCTATGCCATTGACTATGATTTTATAAATTTAGATATAAGACAAAATATAAATTCCAGTCGTTGTAGAAAAAAATATAACATTTTTTTTTTTTAAATTTTAATTTTCGCCTTTAAAACTTATCTTTTAAAACCAATGTTTGTGGATTCATGATTTGTTACGTCGCATTCTAAAGCACGAAAGCTATTGACGAAGGACCTCGCATTTTAAATCACGGTCAAGTGACGAGGATGACATCCTGAGCGGGCACATCATTCACCAAACTTCCACAATACTCAAATGGCTGTGGTAGCCTAGTGGTCAAGGTATCGGATCGCGGCTGGCTTGTCGCGAGTTCGAGCCCAGTACCATTAAAGACCCGTAGTGTATGGCAGCGATGCACGTTTTATCTTACGAGAGCTCAAATGTTCTCCCGTTGGTGTGGTAGTTAGGAGAGGGGGTGCCAGTTCAGGTGTCGTCCTCGTCACTTGACCATGGTTCAAAATTACGAGATCAGGCACCAAAAACCCTCGTGTAGTTGAACAGTAAGACATTAATATTCACTAACTCACTCCACAATACTCAAACACTCCATTTAATCGGCGGGTCGTAAAGCCATATAAGGTCTCGAAGAAATTGAAGAAAATAAAGCTGTGATCTTACAAACATAACCATTCGATTATCTTTTTGTATTAAGTAATAAAAGTTTTAAAATATTAAAAGAGAATGTCTCCAGCACAAATTTAAGACTGTGGTTTCGAATTTCATGCGGATATAAAGGTGTATAAATACTGATCTGAATAACTCTTTCGACACCTGAGAGTATTATTGCGGTTTGATATGCCAGTAAAAAAAATGGGACATAGGACTGGGATTCTTTTAAGTTAAATTATTATTATTTTTAAAAAAAAAAAAAAAGAACTCCCTAATGTAAATGCAAAAATTCTACATTTCTTTCTTTTTATTGTGAAATAAAGAGATCTCTACCAGAATAAGGTTTCGTAAGAACCGTCAATACTTTTCGGAGAATCTCACAATTATTCATATGTTTAAAGCTGATATGTTTCAATGGGCTATTTCCATATAAAAACACTAGCTGCTGCCTCTCTGGGTATTTCATATTATATGATTATTTATTGTTTTTAACTTATTGATATCTATATAAGTCCTAGTATTAAAATTCCGATTTTAATGTACTAGCATCTTCTGATTGTACTAGTCCAGAGGTGGATAACCCAACTGACCTTGTGGGCCACTTTGGAGAAACATTATAATCCCACGGGCCGCATGTAAAAATATATTTCTTTATATTAGATTTGAATCCATGGCAAACATTTATTGGGAGGAAAATTTAAACGGAATGAATTATTATTATTATATATATTATTCATTATTTTTCATGTATACAAACATAGATAATTTAATAATAATAATACAATGATCAAATATGCTTAGCTCTAGCAATAAAGCAGCTCGATAAAGCTACAAGCTTTAACCCCGCCCCCCCCCCCCCCCCCCCCCCCCCCCCGCCGCCCGTTACAATGCAATATTTCTAAGTATGTATAAAAACAGGAGCAAAGCAATAAAAAATAGACACGGTTATATGAGATATATTTGTTCCAAAACACTACACTAAAAACAAAATAATTGCACAAAATAATCGTATTTTGTAAAGTTGCAATGAATCTCGCGGCTGCAAAATTATTCAAGGCGGGCCGCTGGTTAAGCATTCCTGTACTAACCTTTTGATTTAAGTTAAACTTCGAAACTTGAACTGGGGGACTTGAATTTCTAAAGCAAAAATATGTTTACCTTTACTTCCCGTAGTCGATTTCCGTAAAAACCATTTTAACGGATGTCTTTTAGTGGTTTCCATTTATTAGTCAACGAAAGAAACATATTTACCAAATTTTCATGATTATATAGGTCAAATAGTTCAAAAACAGGAATTGTTTTATTCTATAACGCTCCCGTAACCCTCTACTCTGGAGTCAATTTCCGCAAAATCATTCTTAGCGAATCTCTTCTAAACAAAGCTAACATGCTTGCCAAATTTCTAGTTTGCATGTAGTTCAAAAGCAAGAACTTTTGTCTATAACTCTCTCCCACAACCCCTTTAACAGTCAATTTCTACAAAACCCTTTCTTAGTAGATCTCTACTCAACAAAAGAAACATGTCTGCTAAATTCCAAATCTGTTGGATGTAATAGTTCAGGAGATTTCGTGATGAGTGAATGAGTCACTTCTTTCCTCTCATGTTTGTATAGTTTGTAGCATTTATTATTATTTTAAAAGAGAAAAGTATATTTTCCTGTTCTGTGCCACAATCACGCCTGTTGATATAAGATAGCCTCGTACGAGGATGTTAGCGAGGAAATTCTCTTTGGTTTTGAGAAAGACGTCTATTTTGGGCATTGCTTTTCCAGTTGAAAATAAGTTTTGGGATTTGAAATAAAAACTTTGCTTTTTTAGTTTCATCCATCGGAATTTCGCGGAAATTTTCTTCATTCTGTGCTTGATCAATCGTTAAATTAAAAAGGTGTGGATATAGATAAATAAAAATGCAACAATTAAAAATAAAATGGAATTATGGAACACTTGCATGCCTTTCTATGAAAGACTGATTCTAGAAAATTTGACAGGTTCATTGTGGTTCACAGGTTTTTAAAATACAAAAATATCTCTAGTAGAATAAACATCTCTTGAATCTGTAAGAAGGTGCCGGGTGTCTCCATAATTCTTTAAATAAAAATAAAATTAACATTAAAAAAAATCGTTTAGAATTTGTGTCTCAACGAACAAAGTTCTTAACAACTCTTTCACAAAGATCCTACAAATTCACTACTAATTACATAAATAATAATTGTGCTTCTGAATAAAGTTAAAAAAAAAGAAAAGCAGGATTCCTTTCGAATTTCAATTAAATATAATTCTTTTGGAACCAACAGCATACTTTTCAAACATTTAAACTAAAAAATTGTAACTGCAATAAGTTTTCGTTTGAGTTCATTGTATCACGTATAGCAAAAAATTTCTTCACTCCCCCTTCCAAAATGTTCTATCGAAATTCAGAAGCGGCATTCATATTAATTATTATTATCTTTTTATGATTTTGATGCAAAGCTTTACTGCAGTTTATTGAACTGATTTTTAAAGCAAGGAAAAAATGCTCTCAGCATCTTTTTTTATTTAAAACAAGTAATGTGTAAAAACTTTTAAGTAAATTCCTACTTAGGCCAACAAAGAAAAATTTGACTTCAGTTACTTTTTATTAAATAGTTACAATTAATATAAATATGTATATACATATGACAGAATCACAATATTAAGTGACAAAAAAGGAAGCGATTTTCCTTGCAATATTTTTCATTATCCTTTCTATATAGGGTGTTGACTATTTTTTGTTTGTTGCTATTTATTCCTTCATTAAATTTCATTATTCCAATAAAATATTATAGTAAAAAAATCACATTCTCTCAGAAATTGGGCCATCCCAGGTTGGTTTCGAACCCACGACTTTTGAATGAGAAGTTCAATGCGCTATCCAATGCGCTATAGGGACACAACGAACAATTTTCTATTCTACATATTCTGTTGTACTATTATTTTTGTTACTATTTATTCATTTTTTAAATTTAATTAATGAATTTATATTTGAAAAAAATTTATTTGAACTGGAATGGATGAGAATAGAAAGTATTTTATTTTGGATTGAAAATTGGAACAAGATATATGTATATACATATACAGGGAGAGAGTGAACTAATAGTACGAATTGGATAAAGTTAAAACTAAAAAAATTATTTCATGGAATCTTTGTATCTCAACGAACACACACACACAAAAATCTTTATAACAACTCTTTCACAAATTTATCACAAATAACAAAAATAATAATTGTTCTTAGCGAACACATAAATGTTTTATAATACTTTTCAAATATTAGGGAAAAAAAAGAAAAAAAAAAAGAAAAAAGAACTGAAAAATTGTAACTGAGCATTCGCGAAATTTGTTTGAGTTCATTCTATCACATAAAGTAGAAAAAAATCTCTCCCCCCCTCTCGCAAAAAAATATTGCATCGAAATCTAGATGAGGCATTCTATATTAATTATTATTATTTTTTATTATATTAATGTAGAGATTTACTACACGTGATTGAGCTGCTTTTCAATGAAAGGAAAAAAATGCTCTCAGGATCCTTGAAAAAAATGCTCTCAGGATCCTTAAAAAAAAAGCACTTTTTATACTTTTCTACATTTTATTTGTTCTGTTTTATTTTAAATTAGTATTCCATGATCAAATACTAAATTAAAATAAAACAGTTCTTGTTTTTTTTTAATGTTTTATTTAAGTAACTTATTAATATAACTTAAGCTCGATTTTACAAATCTCTCTTTTATTTTTCTATACATTTCCCAGTTTTTCGCAACTTGACAAAGGATATTTTTAAATAAAATCATAATCACACATACTTTTGTGTATATATATATATTTTATTGAGAACATTTATAACCCATTGCACCACAAAGAATCACACGGTGGCTTGCATAGAAGTAAGCGTGAAGCACACGTCACAAAGAAGAGAAGAATTACAACACAAACATCCATGCCTTACCCAGGATTCGAACCCAGCTTCTACGGCACCGCAGTCAGCGTCACTTACCACAGTACCAGATGGGTGGCACATTTGTATATTTGCAAAGAATATTTTTAACATTGTTTAATTATTTATTTGCAATGAACTTAATTTCTGGGATTGAATCGGAACAATCTACCTAGTTTTGAGTGAAATGAAAACAATCAAAATTCATGATAAGGTGAAACGGGAAAATTACATTATCACCCACGAGGGAGGAACATTTCATTGATAGATATTTTTATAATTCACGAAGCAAAACATTTACCACCGCCTTATGCAATTATTTTTAATCCCATAAGAGTCCCAATCTGCGATCATAGGATCCAGCTTGTAAGCCGTTCGATTCTATCATGAACACAGACGGTTCTCTGCAAATGCAGCACCCTTTGGGTTTTTCTTTTAGGTTTGCATCCAGATCATGTTGTGTGATTTTGGTGCATTTTATTTGATTTTAATTTAAGTCGCACTATAAAGCAACACAAGAGCTGCTGGCAACGAAACTCGTAGTTTTGAATCTCAATTAAGTGATGACGTCAGCACCCGAGCTGAAACTCCACTCTCTAAACTTTCGCACTACGCCGAAAGGAGAATTTTGAGCATCGATAGATTTAATGTCGTTTAGCCGCTCTATTCAGGGTCAGTAGAGACTCGAAAAAGCGGCCACAAGTCAACGCAACGGCCTCTTGTCTTTCGTACAACATAGCAATACCTATGAGGATGAGAGGGTGATGCACGATAAATCTGTCGAGGCACCTCCTGTTGGTGTGTTGTGGAAGTTGGGAGAGGGGTGCTAGTTCAGGTGTCGTCCTCGTCACTTGGCGATAGTTCAAAATGACGAGGTTCGTCGTCAAAAGCTCTCGAGTTGCTGAATAGTGCGACGTTAAGGCTGTCTTCAACTAATGTTAAAACAGGAGGTAAATTCGGAATACTTTTTCAGATAAAGAAGTACTCAAACGTTAATACCATATTCTGTGGCTTCACTATCCTGTAGAGAATCACACTTATTTTATCATGCTACTCATTTTTATCCGAGTTTTGATACATTTTTCTTTTATAAAATGTGTTTCGCATTTTTTTCTCCTACACCATAATGCTAAATGAGCTGTCCCTTTACATGTTAAAAGGAAAAACGGATTATTTATGAAATATTTTGAAATTTTAAAAACGCTATATTTTAAACAAATACATGAGTTACAATGACACAAATTTTTATAAAAATTGAGGCATTTTTTTTTCTGTCTGAAAATGTGCTCTGCGTTAAGTTCACACTGTCTTACATATGACGAAAAAGCCTTAATGTTCACTCACGCACGCATTTTAGCAATAGGAAGCAATATTTCAGCATATTATTAGAATGCTAAGGCATATATATATATATATATATATTAACATGCGGTTTTAAACAAAACGTCATTACCATATTTCGCTTTCAAGCATGCATGTTGTTTATATTATGTATGAAATGTTTTTGAGCTTATGAAAACAATTACAGTTTTCATTGTAATTTTTTTAAAAGAAATAATAATAAAAAAATAAAGAATAAAAAATTGAGAGAAAAGTCACGCATTCCCGAAAAACTTCCTGTAATTGAAATGTTAGTAATATATATAAAAGTTATTTAATATATGTATATAAGAGTAAAGGGGCTTAAGTTTGCCGAGAAAAGAATTGCAGCAGATTTTTTGAAAATAAATTTAAAAATTAGAGTTAGTAGATCCCTTCCTTTAACTAATTAGTAAAGAAAAGGGTTTTATTTCACATCCTCGTAAGGTCATTTTTATTATGTAACATAACATTTTATTTTTTTGTTTATCACATAAAAAATTTCGTTGAAATTTCAAAATTTAGTAAAAGGAAACAACAGGAATGGGGAATTTTTACCCAATTCTGTTGCATTTTTATTAAAATTAAAATAAAAGATGCAAATAGATTTTTGAATTTTTCTCAGCTAAAAGTATTATTTATCTAGTGTCTGAGAATATTTAGTATAAATCAATTTTTAAATCTTTTTTAACAATAACTTCCGCTAAGTTTTAAGAAATATTTTTTTCTACGGAGTAATTTTTTTTTTTCAGTTACAAATTTAGTAGACATCGAATAAATTTGACTTAAAATGAAAAGCAAAAAAATTAACCATAAATATTTTTGATTGTCGACGGGGCATATGTTTGATTATAAGCATATGAAAATAAGAAACTGTCCTATAAGGAATATTTATTAAGTCTTCGCGCATGCTGTTTTCTAAAATAGTAGCTTTAATTACTAGCTATAAGTTGATTTATAAAGTTAAATGTATTCTTATTACATTGTAGCTATTTTTATAAAAATAGAATAATAACTTACATATTTCAATAAATAAAAAATACATTTTTAAAAAATATTTAAAAAATTGCAATATTTTGAAATACAAAAGATATGTAATACTAAAATTCGGTAGAGTTTAAAGAGTATGATGCATTTTATAATTCTATAAAGTTTTATACATCAGAGGCTACTATTTTAGAAAATAGCGAGCGCAACTCAAAAAATACTTAATATTTATTATAGAATTTTCATATATTTATGTGATTTTTAAAATTATGATTATATTTTAAACATTTTATACTTTTCTGAATTCCCATTCTTTTATAAATAATGTATAAAAGATTTGAATCATTTAATTTAAATTTAAAAGAATTATACCTGTTTGAAAATTGTTTATATTTTCAGACCTGTAGAGAAACTTAACCCCCCTGAGACCCCTTAAAATGGATACATTTTTGTATTGAAGAGATGTGGTGGCATGAAGATTGTAGAAATACGTATTGTAATTTTGGTAGCATTATTAAAATTGTGTCTGTTGATGTTTTATTATATCGCTGAAATATATGAATCCGATTATCTTAATCTCTAGAGAGATTGTTAGGGCATATTTTCCGCAACAGCCTTTTGACATAATTTTGCAAGTATCAGTAAGCGAAGAATTTTCTTAAAAAATTATATACACATTGTTATAAAAAAAGTTTAATCTCATATAAGTCTCCCTTGAAAATATATCTTCTAAATTTCAAAAGACAAAACTGTGTGAAAAAGTCACCTTCCATAGAGTTATCTTGGTGGATTTCAAAAAAGTGATTCAGTTAGTGAAATTTCGACAACTACAATTTTTATTGCCCATCTGCATAGTTAGAGAGGAGTATTGAGTATTGAGAAGTTTGTGTTGTTATTCTGATCCACAATACACAGATGTTTTACATAATTTAAGACACTGTGAATTAAAGATTTTTTTTTGTATATATATAGATACTATTTTTCTCTGTAAAATGTAGACACACTGTAGCTCTTTCCCTTTGAACAGAAAGTTTTTTTTTGCGACACAGCAGTTTATGGTGTCGAATAAATCCCCCGAGGAACTTTACTATTAATCCCATTGCCTATTTGTAAATGCACTTGTGAAAAAAGTAGTTTTTTTCAAGCGAAGCAATAAGGAAATTGTGACAAACTAGTTGAAATGGTGAACCAGTGATTTTGCTACGAATTGAACAAACATAGAACCTTATGAATTTTTATTCAATTGGCTTTGGCAATATTAAGAGTACGATATTTGACGGTAAATATACAGTTGAACCTCCCTATTGCGAACCTCTGTATTGCGAATTCTTTTATACAGCGAACTTTTTCCTGGATTTACACTTCACGATTTTCTTCATTAAATAACCTCCCAATAGCGAAGTGCATTTTCTGTGTAACGAACTTTTTCTCTTGTGGTTCAATTTTTTTCTCCCTATTCTTAAAGTATTTCTAGACATTTCAAGTTATTCTCTCCCTTATCAGTTTTTATGGTGGTCATAAATCTTAAGGTTTTATATTAGGTGCCTAACTCGTCGTGAGCAATAGAATTCTGGGAGATTCATCCAAGAAATGTAACCTTTAACGCCCGGCC